GATGCAGAGTTTAAACGGTTCTATGAAGATTTGTATAAATCTGAGCGAGGGGCCGACAGTACTGCTGCAAAAAGATTTATAGATGGAATAACTCTTCCTAAATTACATAATGAGGACAAAGAACTGCTTGATGCAGATATGTCTGAGATGGAGGTACTTCGAGCCCTCAAGTGTTTACAAATTAATAAGACCCCTGGACCAGACGGCTTCTCGGTCGATTATTATAAGGCTTTCTCTAATAAATTACTGACACCACTCACGAATATGATCAAAGAAGCTTTAGAAAATAATAAATTACCAGAGTCACTGGAAATCGCAACAATCACATTAATCCTGAAAGGACAAACAGATGTGACTCTTACAGACCCCTCAGCCTCTTAAATGCAGATTGTAAAATATTATCTAAAGTAATTGCACTGAGATTGGAAGACATCATGACTAAGATAATACACGCTGACCAAACAGGCTTCATTAAAAACAGGCACGGAGCAGATAGTGTGCGACGTTTGCTCCATATACTGAACACTGCTCAAAAAAACCAAGACCCCCTGCTAACAATCTCCATGGACGCTAATGAAGCATGTGACAAACTTTCTATTTCAGGCGATGGAAGCTATGGGCTTCGGAGAGAAGTTCACCTGTTATGTTAGGACACTTTTTAATGCCCCCAGAGCCAATATCACAACAAATGATGTGCTCTCAGGCACTTTCTCTTTAACCAGAGGCTGCAGACAAGCTTGTCCAAGCTCCCCTTGCTCTTCGCGATTGCGATCGAACCACTAGCCGCTGCCATTCGTACTAGTGCCTCCATATCTGCAATCAAATTTGGTACAAGTGAACATAAACTTTCTCTATACGCAGATGACCTCCTACTATTCTCTTCTGCATGGTCTCCCCCAAAAATCCCTCCATAAGCTTCAACTGGTTCAGAACTCTGCTGCTCGCATTATCAGCAGAACCCCTCCTACCAGCACATCACCTGTTCTTCAGGAACTTCACTGGCTAATAATATTCAAACTCCTTCTGCTCACCTTCAAGGCCATTCATAACCTCGCTCCTCCTTACCTTTCTGACCACCTGGTCTGCCCGTTCTTCTTCTATCCAGCTTGCTGTACCTTCCTTCCGCCTCACCAACATAGGAAGCAGAGCTTTCAGCTGCTCTGCTCCCAGGCTGTGGAGCTCTCTGCCCCCAGAAATAAGAAACATTGGTTCTCCCCCAGTTTAAATCCCATCTGTTCAAATCTGCATATTCACTGTGAATCCACAGTTTGTTAATTTTATCTTGTGCTTTTGTTTTATTGTTCTTATTCTGCCATTGTTTTACTAAGTGTTTTATCCTATTGTAAAGTGTCCTTGGGTGACTTGAAAGGTGCTCATAAATAAAATTTCTTATTATTATTATTAATATACATAACGGACCCTCTTAAATCAATTCTCTCCTTAATGAAGTGTCTCGAAGAATACAGTGCAGCCTCAGGATACAAGTTAAACTACACCAAAAGTGAGATTGTGCCATTAAATATACAAGACAGCCGTATTAGAGCTCTGACTGACCCATTACAGTGGTGTGATAATGGCTTCACGTACTTTGGTATACAAATTGGTAAATCCGAGGATCAAATATTCAAACAAAATTATATCAAACTGTTGGAGCAAACCAAACTTAATATTCAGAGATGGATGGATTTTCCATTATCTCTCATAGGCAGAATAAATGCTATTAAAATTAATACTTTGCCTAAATTCATTTACTTATTTCAATGTCTCCCTACAAATGTTCCTAAAAGTTTCTCCAAAGAGCCTCATAAACTTATAACTTCTTTTATATGGCAAAAGAAAAATCCAAGAGTCAAACTCACCTCTCTGCAGGCCCCATATTCAAGGGCAGGACTTAATTTACCAAACTTTAGGAACTATTATCTTGCCTCCCAGTACCGATCAGTTTGGATCTGGCTACATGCAGAGAGCAGTGAGGTTCGATGGGTCCCAATAGAACAACATGTCATGAGGTGAAACCCCATTAAAAGATGTTCTATTTTTAGGTACAAAAAAATGTCCAAGCTCACAAACTATTTGATAATAAACACCTTCTGCGTCTGGCAGGAATCCCTCTCACTTCTGAAAATAAATATCTCCTTTCTTAGAAGGACACCCCTATGGGGCAACCCTGACCTCTCTCATCATATTCCTGACCCAATACTGCAGGGACGGAAGGACAGAAATATTGGAACTGTTGCTGACTTATACAATAATGACACATTTATTGACTTTCAACTGCTAAAGGAAAAATTCTAACTTCCAGGACAAAGTTTCTTCAAATTTCTACAAATAAGAGAGCAAGAAATAAGATAAGAGTCAAGGAGAAATCCAAAGGGTTATTCCCCGAGATACCAAAAGAAACTCCTCTTGAAACCCATCTTTGTACCAAACCATGGAGGCTATTATCAATGAAAGTTACCCGATCACAACAAAGCGTCCATAAAAAGAAAATGGGACCTGGGCCATGTCTATGAAGAGGTAGAATGACACCACTTATTGGAACAGGCACCGACTGTGTTAATTTCTACAAAACAGGCAAGTGCAATTTAACATACTTCATAGGATATATTACACCCCTTACAGGCTACATAAAATTGATAGTAATTAATTAGATGTTGGATCCACTATTTCCCTTATTGAGACCAATGTGTTGGCTTTTGTCCTCGGCTGCAGCTAAAAAGCCTGATATGATTTGGGGTCAATAATGTCCTTTTAAAACTTGATAGAGTTGAGTCTGCAGAATGTAAAACCATGAACTGCCAAAGACATGGAAAACAGAGGATTTGCTGCTGACTGCAGGAAATATGACCAAGTGCAACACAGAACTATAATGTAAATGAATGTTTGTTACATTGTAGCTAAATGTGTTCACACAGAGCTGATTAATTGCAACTTTAGCCTCTCTTGTTGTAAAGCTAACATCTGTGGTAACACTGACGTTAGCTTTAGTGCATCAACCAGCAATGAAAACAACCACAGAGGAAGACACATGGGGCCACACCAACTCCAGAACCAGGATTTTTATCATTGCAAGGAAAATAAAACATACACTGCAAAGTAACAGAGAATATACTAAACATAGCAAATTAAATATTACAGAAAAACATTTAAAATAACACCAAGAACAGTTTGATGTTTTCTGTGACTGGTGTCCCATGTGCCCTCTGTCCTGGAGCGTAGTGTCCATGCCTTGGTGTTCACAGCTGTGTTGGTGGCACGAGACACCTTTACATAATATAACCTCAGAGCTTTCAATGCTGTCAGTGATTGTGTGAGTCTTCAAAAGGCTTGATCCTGAGCCTGGGAACACGTAATCCCTTAGTGTGTTATGACTGTAAAGCAAAAACTGTGTCAACATATTTAGAGAAGATTAAGCATTAAACTGGAACTTTCCTGTCAACAATCCTTCTGCAGTGTTGGCCTCGCCAGAACAACTGAAGTTTTCAGTGTGACGTCTAAGCACTAGCTTTAGAAAGAGCAGCTCTTTCCTTTTCTTTTGTTACTAATATTTGTTTGATTTATCTTTCTGTGTGATGTTGTCATTCATACCAATATTATGCTGAAGCATAATTGAGCTTAAAATGCCAAATATACAGCAAGCCCTGCAGCACAGTGTATAAGCTGTTTGTCTTTAATGCCGCCCTGTGTCCAGTGTTTTTAGCTGCCTGGCCGTCATCAGGATGCCGTCTGAGGCTGTTTCTTCTTCTTTCTTTCACATTCACACTGGACTGAATCAGTGGGTGAAGTTCCAGTTTCTACATGCAAACTTTGCAATTTCTTATAAAATTCTTTCATTTATGGTGCAAGTCTAAGAACCTGGTGCACACTAAATATTTATTCAGATAACATAAACAGAAAATTGCAAATTTCAAGTTTCAAGTTTTATTGTCGTGTACAGACAAACATTTATCCATAATGAAATTCTTTGGCTCCTCAGCTTTACAGGAGCATATAGAGAGTGTGCAGTTATATTGAGAAGAAAATAAGAGAAAATGGCAGTGGTAGTAATAAAATAATAATAATAATAATAACAACAATAAAAAGGAGAGGAACAAGTATTAAACATTAGAGAATTTAGTTGGTATTTACAAATACATCCATGGCTTCAACCTTCAATATATTGTAGAAAGATGTGAAGGTCAAAGTTGTGAAGATGACACGTGTGGTTTTAGAGCAGAGCTTTTCTGTCACCTGACAGTTAAAGACTATTCAGACTGATGGTTTGAGTTTTTCCATTTAACTCAGCGACTTAGTTTCTGACTCTACAAGCCACCACACTGCTGTCAGAGACACTGAGGATGGTTTCTAGTATTTCAGTTAATTTTAACTTTATTTATATAGTTCCAAATCACAACAGCAATCACCTCAGCATGTTTTATATTTTAAAGAAAAGACCCTACAATAATAGACAGAACCCCCTGAAAATACCCCAGAATCAGATGACCGCTCTTTGAGCAGATTTCAATCCTTAATTATTGGATTATTGTCAAAAGTGGAAGAAATTTCTTGTTCCAAAACAAAGTGGTGAACAGATGAACGGAAGAAGTGAGCGCGCTGTGGTGGACCTCCTGCTCTGACTCAACTACAGCCATCTTTGTCCCACAGAAGTGAATTTCAGAAAAACTTAGTCAACAGCAGAACAGCAGAGAGGAGCCTGTGTTGATGAATTAAAGGAAAAATAATAATGCACTGATTGATTTAATTAAGGTTTAATTGTAGTGTAAGTTTCCTGCCTTTTTACCACCTTTTCCTTTGAATATTATTAATGGCTGAAACTGTAATTTGAAGGGAGGAAAGTCAGTAAAGTCATTATTGAGACGGAGGAATTCTGAATCTGTTCATAGATATGATATGAACATGTAACTGCATAGAGACAGAAAACAAATGTACTCAACCCAGATCATCTCTACTTAAAATGAAAGGATTTTACGTGACAGAAGGAGAAACAGCAGCAGACTTACGGAGGGCGTGCCATTCGTCCTGCCTTATTGTCTTGGTGATGTTGTAGGAGAGGTTTTTGGGTATCGTAGCTGAGGAATAGTGATACTTGATGTAGGAGCACCGAGTAATGGAACCTGCAAAGGAACAAAAGGTTTTTGTTTGTTTGTTTTTATAAACAGAATATTTACACAAACATTCACTCTAACGATACACAGACTGAACAGAAGCTTCAGTTCAGACGTGATTCAGCTGGAGAGGCTGCGTCTGCACTGGACGCACAATCAGCTTCCTGCATCAGTGGTGAAGAAACTCTTTTAACATCTCTACAAACCACAGCAGGAACACAATGGCTGCGTGAAAAATTATGTTCCTCTAAAACTATTAACTAATGAATCAGGAGAGCTTTCAGTGTGCACTCCTAACAGTACAGCGTTGGCTAGAGCATCTATCATAAAACAAGAAAGCACAAATAATTTAGAAATCTGTCAAATACTTGGTCAAAACTAAAAATTATATCATTACTTATGATGAAAATAGCAAATTAAATTCATGTTCAGGAAGGCAAGTATGTATAATAACTAAATATAATACTGTAATGCACTGCTGCAGCATTGCACATAACAAACTCCCGTGTGTGCTGTTGTTACATTTAGAGCCCAATTACTCAATAAATTGGAAAAATACAGTTTTGGAAATTCTTTTGTTACAAAAGTTAAAATACTTCATGAATATGATGAAGACATCTTTCCGTCTTTGCATTTTCTGCTTACTCCATTTACAACTATTTGATAAAGGCGATTGTTTCATCTGCTTTTTCCTAGCTTAGTGTGGCCTGTACACACATTCCTCCTGTAGCTCTGTGGCCCGGCCCACACCTGTGACTGTGATGCTGTAGGTTCATAATGAGGCTGTAACTTCCTCCGTTTCCTTTTGACACCATTGCTGCTTGTCTCTGGCAAGGCCACGTGGCTCACAAACATGACATTATTAGAGTCTTTGGAGGTTTGAATTACACAGACAAGACAATCATACCACCACATGCATTTCCTCAGTCCTGAAAACAAACACACACACACACACACACACACACACACACACTGCTACACTGTGGTTTATGTGAGCGTAACATAAGGGTTAACAAACAGGTGCTCCCCAAAACCAGACAAGTAAAAGCCGACACACAGACAAAGGTGACGTTTATTGCTCTGCCTATAACACCGAAAGCATGAACTCCAGGGTGGACCGAGGCCCAAATAACAGACAAGACAAGCAAACCCAAGTCGTACCCCTAACTCTAGTTCCCACTTTCTGCTTCAATGCTATTTACAAATGGGCAAAGTTATTGGCAGCATTAATCACTATTAATCACTTAGAGGCTGAGGAAATACGCTTGGACAGGGCCAGCACTGGTTGGCCAAGAATCTCCTAGATTTTTATTTTTTTAACTTTTCTTCATCATTAATGTAATCCAGTGATATTTACCAGTATTTCCAATCACAGCGCACAGCTAAGATTAAATAAAACGCTCAAATACTACATCTCACAGAAAACATTTAATATTATCCAGAGATTATTAAAATAAACTTTAAATAAAATAATTTTTCATTTCACCTTTGTAAAGCAGAAAACAGGTAAACAGGTAAACAGGTAAATAATGTCTTGAGCTTTGTACCCAAGGAAAGTAAAGAGGGTTAGTTAAAGGGTCTTTCTCTATAATGAACAATTCAAGCTACATTAAATGCATCACAGCCAAGTATTTGGCCGACATTGTAAACATCGAGCTTGACTCTTCTGTTGCAATGATGTGTCCATGTCTTGTGTGGAAAGCACATAAACAGGTCGTACTTCCACATACGTGCCCCTACAGAGCTACTCTGGAGAACTGATGGGGCACCGTCACACAGCTCCTCCCTGCTGAAGTGCAGTCAGTTCTCTGCGGCTGTTTTTGTTTGTTTGTGCATCCATTCACTTCCACTTATCCTTTTCAGGGTCGTGGGGGGCGCTGGAGCTTATCCCAGAGGCAAAAGGCGGGGTACACCCTGGACAGGTTGCCCGCCTGTCGCGGGTCTAACACGTGGACACAGACATTTGCACTCACATTCACACTTGTGGCGAAATCCCACGCAAACACAGGGAGAACATGCAAACTCCACACAGGAAGACGCCGGCCTGGTGGTGGAATTGAACCCAGCACCTGTTTGCTGTGAGGCAACAGTGCTAACCACTGTGCTGCCTTGTTTGTTTGTTTGTTTTTTGTTGACACACTGCAAAGTGACAACATTTTGTAATTTTAGCAGAGAGCAGCTGTGATCAACTATAACAAACTACATTACAAAGACCTGCTTGGCTAAATACAAAGGAAAGCTCACTGTACTGTTTTAATGTGGAAAGGCTGTTCAGTGAGAGCATTTCACGCAGGCCTTTGCCGTGTGCACCTCATGATTAATGGGCTTATACACTGAACCACCTTTAGCATCAGTAACTTGGTGTAATAATCTTCTGTATCACATGATCATTATGGAGGAGTTATGGCCAACTTTGCTTCAGTTCACTGAGGTTTCTGTCACAGGAGTTTAAGGTCTGCACGTTGGGCCACTGCAGCAGCTAAAGTTAGCACCTGCAGGTGGCGCTATATAAATAAAACTGAATTCAGTTCAGTTCACTTGAATTCAATGCTGCCTGCTACGCAGACATCATACACGGTACACTACTGTGTGTTCTTAGTGTATAAATGTGATAACAGAGATTGCACTACTGTCAGTTTGCTCCACCAACAAACTCCCATAGAGCTGCTTGCATTATTAGACACAGTGCATATAAGGGCTATAATGTGACACCGAGCTGAAAACACAGCAACACACAAAACAAAGAGAAACTGAATAAATATGACACTGGAATAGAAGGAATAATAAAAAACAACAGTTTCTTCATTGAGATCTTTAGAAGCCGTCAAAAGTATAGAAGGCAAATAAAAATCGAGTGTTAATGTCTCCTCCTCTTCTTGGAGTTGTGCGTCCTCGCTGCCACATTCTGACACTTTTCACTGTGGACACTGTGAGGAGTTGATGTCAGTGGCATCTATGTCCTCCTGCAACCGGCTGCTAGCAGCTGTGGGGCACATATAACAAGGGCTTGACTCTTATTCATACTGTTCAGCTGGCTTCTCGTGTCGTACCTGCAGGAGGTTTTTGGCTATAGCTGGTTCCCATTTGGTGTGTAGGTTCTTGTTGCTTCTTGTATGTCTGCTAATCTGCCTTCTGGCAGCTCCACCCCTTCAGTCAGGGTCACCTTTCCTCTCTTTTCAGCTGTTTGGTCACACTTATCCAAACGGGCCCACTCATGTCCTGATGAATGACTCAATGTCTCGCTTACTTCTGACATGTACCTTGATATCATCCACGTACAGGAGGTGGCTGACGGTAACAACACTCTTGAATCGTTATCCATATCCGCTGTTAGTGATGAGCTTGTTCGGGGCAACACCAAGGCGTTCCCAGGCCAGCCAAGAGATATAATCCCTCTAGGTTGTCCTGGGTCTGCCCGGGGGCCTCCTCCCGGTGAGACATGCCTGGAATACCTCACCCATTAGGCATCCAGGAGGCATCCTTGTCCTTTCAATGTGAAGGAGCAGCGGCTCTACTCTGAGCCCCTCCCGGATGGCTGAACTTCTCACCCTCTCTAAGGGAGAGGACAGCCACCCATCGGAGGAAGCCCATTTTTGCTGCTTGTATTCGCGATTTCATTCTTTGAGTCACTACCCACAGCTCTGACCATAGGTGAGGGACGTAAATCGACCGGTATATTGACAGCTTTGCTTTTATACTCAACTCTCTCTTCACGGCGGACGGTACAGCATCGCTGCAGTCGCAGCAGCGCTCCATCATATGGTAAATATAAATGAGTCTGGTCTCTGTCCAAAACGTGTTTGGTTTCAACTGAATTTCACTGCAACTTTAAGAGCACTTGCACTATTTTCTTGATCCTTAAAAAGTCACTTAAATTCAACCATAGTTACTGATGGGGGCAGTATATTCAAAACCTATAAGCTCTGTTTGACTTATTATTTAAATAACTTTCTCAACATGACCTGTTGGATTGTTGTGTTTCACTAACAATCTGCTTTTGCTGAATCAACATAATTACTTAAATCCGGTTAGGCAGGTTATGTTTTGAGTAATGGGGAGAAGTCCCATTAGTCGAGTCCATGTTTGAAGTGGGGGAAGGGAGGTTTGTATGAAACATTCGTCATCCTTCTGCTCTCCCCTTGGCCTGAAGCTGCCTGTGTTTCCACATTTGATTTCCTGAGAAGTGCTAACCTCTCCGGTGCTTGTCTCTGTGGACAGAAATGCTTGAGCAAGCCAAACTCCGACCCTTTGGCATATTTGTGAGCTGGCAAACACATTACATCCTTTCACTGAGGTATCCTCCTTCCAGCAGTTAGACTCAGGCACACTGCTCTCACAAACCCAAATGGATTTCTATCTCAGTCATTTTAGTTAAATTGCCCTTCAGCCTTCTGCAAACGTCTCTGAGCCAGACACCATTTCCTCTCCATTACTGATAGTGACTGGAAGTGATACTGAACGAGTGCATTTCTATACACATCCACTCATGTGAGTGCTTTTCTGTTCTCAGTCTCTGGATGTCTAAAGCTTTATTTTTGGGCTCAAAGGCCTTAGAATAAAGAAGGCCAAAGGTCAAACACCATTGCATCACATTAAAGGTTCATTGGAAGGTTATTGTTACTCACTTGAATATGATAATGAAGAGCTGTTATGTGAACATACAGTTAATAGGACTCCGGCTTGCTGCTACTTTCTGCAGGAGAGGATGGATCTTTCGTTACCTGAAATATCCTTTACACTCCTGTGTCAATCTAATGTATTCATATGTATTATTCTTTCGTACTGGAGGGGCTCGAAGCCGAGTGTGAAGCGGTGGGAATGAGAATCAGCGCCTCCAAATCTGAGGCCGTGGTCCTCAGCTGGGAAAAGGCTTTGCGTGCCCACTCCGGGTCAGGGATGAGTTCCTGCCCTGGAGTTTAAGTATCTCGGGTCTTGTTCACAAGTGAGCGGAGAAAGGAGCTGGAGACGGGTCGGTGCTGCGGCTGCAGTCCAGAGCTGAGCGTTCCTGC